ATTATTTTGCACAGACTAACAAATTATGCAGTTTGGTATTCAAATGACCAATCTCCTATTTTCTCCCGTGAAGACCTTGCCCCAAATGGGCAAAAAAAGGTATGAAGTGCTGGACAAATATACTAATAATAAGTGCAAAACAGCGGCGGATCCAGGGAAGGGGTGCAGGGGTTGTACACCCCTCCCTGGTTCCACTTTGTGTCCCTGCTTCAAAGTAAACCAAAACTGTTTTTTTTTCCTTTGAGTCTAAGGGTTGCACCCCTCCCTGGGTTAACTTTGCGCGCAGCACTCCTCTCTGAACTAAATCCTGGATTCGCCCCTGCAAAATATTACAACATTRTTATCATATCTTTCTCTTATTAATGGAGTAGTATTACCCACAGACCATATAACTAACTGGAACATGCATCATTAAATGTTTACATTCGAAATTAAATGACATTCTTCAAAATTATCATGTCAGSTACCTCTAGATAGATATCTACACTTCATATAATGGTCCTTGTGAACCATTACCATACATTTACCACACATATCTGACATTGTCAGTGGAACCAATTAGTATATGTAATAGGACTCGATGCTGTCCAATTAAGAAATAATTGGACGAGGAAAATATAGTGGACTGCCAATATTGGACAAGGCAGTAGGCTGAGTTTAATTTTGCAGTCAGAGGAATTTTTTCGAGTCTAATCATTTCTTGATTGGGGAGCATGAAATCCCATTACCAATTAATTATATAGCTGCCTAATTAACCCCATATCATCAACACCTGTCCAATTAAGAAAATAATTGGACAGTTACCTACATATGGGATTAATGAGAAGCTGTATGATTAAAATCTAAAATGAAAACAATGCGTTCTATTGTAACTTTGGGTAGTGGAGCCAATCAGAAACCTAGACTGCACAAATTTGTAATTTGACCCTGATGTTACGTGTCGACAACTATATAGCCATCGTCATTTTCTWGTGAGAATAAAAAATATCTTTGGCAGCTTTTGTTTTCTTCTGGTTTCTGATTGGCTGTACTACCCAAAGCTGGAATGTATTGTTTTATTTTATAACATAATTGCTCTATTTCACTATGACGTCACTGCTAGTTTATGTGGGGCATAGAATCGCCAAATCCAATAGAAAATTCAACAAAATTTTCTCCTAGTGAAACAGTTTAATCTGAAATGGCCTGGTTTTCAGATATAATATGTGTTAATATGTACTAAAAAATATTCTGAGCGTTTGCTGGCTATTCTACTTCTCTTTGTGGATTGATACGGGTTTTAGAACAACTTTTGGTGAATTTGCGTTGATTTGACCCCCTCCGACGACCATAATCCTTTGTGTTTAAACAATAAATTGTTTTGATATGATGTCATAGTGAAATAGGGCAATTGGTTCTTGCTGTCTAGGTGGCCTYGGTTATAGTAGTTGCACTGTAACCATTCTTAAATAAACTTGCTTAAACAATAATTTATTTGCTGGCCTTCGCCTCGGACAAATGGTCCTTGAGCAAAGGTTAACACAYGTGCACAGTGCTTGCTTCAAGTACAGATGTTATCTTCAATTTTAACTTATGTAGTTAGTTGAAATGGTAAGGATTTACTGTTCCTTTTTTCCATTAGATTTTCTTTGAATTTCTTGTCCATATTGTTTATGCATTTTAAATTATGTCCTCGTTCTCCTCTGGTATCATCGGACAAGTGAGAAGGTAGAATTGACGTTGTAGGATACCATGCTAACTGTGTTATCCTTTGGGAGGAACTGTGATTGACTTGATCCGCTGTAAAAAAGGTTTTCGTAATACCCGTTTCCTTCAAACTGCAACAAAAAAGAAAGATCAATAAAACTGACTTTCTTCAATAGGACATTTGCAACAAACARTCAYGTGCTGATACATCACTTTGCTAACGAATCAATTCAGCSAAAGCTTCCTTGGGGAAGGCTCTGCTAGATGGCAARAAAACYTTAAATTGCTTTGTRTTTCAAAATCAAAAGTATCTTATAAGGGGAAAAAGAGTATTTTTGAAAAGGTTTTGGATACRACATTAGTAATCCAGCAAAAAATCTTTAAATAAAAGAAGCCCATTATTATGTCACATTACATCATTATTGGCATGACACCTGAAGACTGAAAAGGTGCACGGCTGAGCTATGACTGGCTCCTGGTCAGTCTAAATACAACAAGTAAATAAGAAGGAAAYTTAGGCCTAGGGTAAACGTCAAACTTTCCATGCACTGAACTTAATTACATCAAAGAATGCCGCCTCATTATCACCTGATATCCATTGTTCTTAATGAGTTCGGTGCATGGAAAGTTCGACGTTTGCCCTAGGCCTTAATGACATTTCAGGCATTAGTCTTTCATCGGAGTAAAAAAGGAAATAGACCCTTTTCGAGTTCCAAATTACTGCTGTGTTTCTGGATTACAGACTCATTTACTCAGGGTTAGCCTCGATTTTGTGTAGAATATTCACGTGTTCCAGTCAAGGTCCGTCGAGTTTCAAAGTGTTTGTATTGTTGAAGTTGTGCATTCTTTACTTTACTGTTGGTATTTGTAAATACAACACTGAATTAAACCGTGATACGAGGCTAACCCTGTGTAAATGAGTCTGTGATTAAGGAACACAGTGGTAATATGGAAATCAAAACTGATCTAGAGAAGTGTAGAGTTCATATARTACAGGAAGTAACGGATGAACAAAGTCCAAAAGGAAACAGCTTGATGAAACACCACAACATAGGAAACAAAAGGTGTCAAAGCAAATACGGTGTAAGGTGTGAATAATTCTCATTTCTTTAGTTTTACGAGATTCATTATTACCACTAAGATTCAACAGCCAAAAGCAAAAAAATATTACAAATAGAAAAAAAAAAAAAAA